AGGTATTTTACGGATATTGACTAATAGGTATCTTCACGATTCTGTAGTGCCACACAGGGGTGTAACTCAGCAGTAGAGTACTTGCCTTGCACGTTTTGGGAACCTGGGAGCCACTACCAAGGACACTTTGCCCTGCTATGTTAAACTGACAATGAAGGGCTCAGGTTACAAAAGAGATGCTGTTCAGATTCAGCTTGGCATTATGATGGCCACAGTCACACTCAAGGATTACTCAAGGATCATCATGAATTTTATTCAGAAGTTCTTGGGGCTCAGGGGGTGTCTAGTCTCAAATTCAGTGTCTTGAACAGTGTTTCTTTGAGCTGTCTAACCAGTCCTAAAACCCAGAATCTTTTTATGCTTCCACTGTTTTAAGAGACCAACATGTTTGACCATTTCCCCCTAAATGTTGAAAGGAACCTTTGCTATTCCTTTATTCTCTGTTTCTACTGCATTCGGGAAGGGCAAACTATTATCAATTCTCCATGCCTTATTCACAGTTTGTGCTATTGCAATACTCTGACTCTTCTTGACACCCACTTGACTCTGGCTATCTCCTACTCCTTTCTATCACTGTTCATCCTTAGACTACAATCTCCTTAAAGTCAGGAACTTCTATTCTCTATGAATCATCAGCAGGATGGATAAAAGTACTCAACAAACATTTGCTGAATTACTGGATATTTCCTGTGTTCCAGACAGTATTCAATAGTTTAGAGGAATATTTTCATTTCAGTCCTACCCCAAAACTCTGTATCCTAGTACACACCTTTATAAAAAATAAACTGTTTATTTCTTCTTCTATTGAATCACCATGAATAAAGAAGAAAAAGTACTCTAAAAAAGAAAGAAAGTAACCTGTCCCCTTAACATACATTTATATTCTTATGACTATTCTTGCCTTATGTGATAATCTACAGGATGTGATAATGTGTATTAGCAGATGATGTCAGAAAAACACATTTTATAGCACCACTGCATGAAGATTGAGTATTCAAATTTCCCACTCAAAACTATTGCTTTGTTTTTTATAGGTTTTTTAAATTGCAGTGTTTTCTGTATTCTATGATCTTTTGTTAATAAAAAATTCATACAAATATGGGGCAAAAAGAACAGTATAGCATATATGGAGATTGCACGCAGATATGCCTTGCACATAGAACAAGAAAAGAGCCAGTAGTAAGGCCAAGCACTTCCAGGTGTGCCCCAAACATCAAAAACCAAATTTGTAAAATGAAAATGTTGTGACTTTTTAGAGCAAGCAACAATTTAGTTCATTGAACACAATGCTTTAATCATATCAGTCAGGAGCTTTGCTGATATCCTTTCTTATCATATCAAAAAAAAGTCTAAATTTTTGACTTTTTAAAATTTTAATATCAAATAAATTTAACATTCTATGACAGTCAGGAAATCTTTACAGATTGATTAATTGTAGTAGTGATGGGTGGGTAGTGGCCGTAAAAAGCAGCAGTTACTTATTAATGCTATTGTTACCTATTTATTAAGTACCAACAAGGTACTGATCCTGTGCTTACACTTTCCCATCAAAAAGCCCCTTGAAATGGGTAGTTTTTCTGGTTTTACAGATGGGATAGAGAGTTTAACTTATTTACTTGAAGTCATAGGGCTATCAAATAGTGGAAACTGGTCTGAAACCCAAATTTCTGTGCCACCAGTGTCTAGGCTTTGAAGACTGCCCAAGTGACTTAACCCTTTATGAGATTCAATTTCCTCATTTATAAATATGAGGGAAGTGACCTATCTTGTAAGGTGGTTAGAAATAATAGATTTCCCAGGACTCAGAGGAACATGGTAGGCATTTAAACCATAGTGGAGCTATTTGGACAGAAACGGGACATTAAACGGGCAGGCAAAAAGCTGAAATCTCCTTAAAGGCATTAGGCAACCGTGGAGAAAAAAATCTCCTGCATCGGGGTCTTAAGAGTTGGCCCTGTCTCTCAGCTCCAGTATGCAGTGACTGAATGAAACTGAGGGACAGACAAGGGAGCAGGGGTCTGACTTGGGCTTCAGTAATCTGCATGAAGTCGTGAGGCAGGAAGGGGCACAGAAATCCCCGTTGTCAGAGGACTGCAGGTGTCAGACAGAGTTGGTGTAGGTGGGCTCCCAGAGCCTAGCGGAGGGAGGGGAAGTCGTAGAGGGAGGGCCAGCGAGTAGGCGGGGTAGAGAGGGAGGCGGGGCGCAGAGCCGAGAGGCCGCCCTTAGACAGCTCTTCGCGTGCCGGCCGGCCGCTTGCTGCATCTGGTGGAGCTCGCTGGAGAATCTCCAACAGCGGAGCGGGCCTTCAACTACCGTAAGTACCTGCAAGCGAGCGCATAGTCCAGTGGCTGCAGCTTAAATACTGGCCACCAGATCCTAATTAAAACCCTGAAATAGTCCCCTTGCTGTAATTAATTGTCATAAGTCAAACTGCTTCCCAGTCTGTCCCCCCGACTCCCTTCATTTCTCCCTTTCTCCATCCCTCTCCGGATCCCAGACTTCCCTCGCTGAGAATCTCTGTCCACTGTTGGACATCTTCGCTGTTTCTTCTCACTCAGCCTTCCCTCCAAACCCTCAGCGGAGCCTGTACCGGGCACCCAGCTGAGCGCAACCCCTTGGATTCCTGGAACCCTCGAAGCTATGCAGGGGGCGAGCCGTTAGGAATTTCTCTGTCACCTCAGAAGCACTGCGGCGCTGCCTAACTAAGGGTGGGCAAAGTGCTTTTGGAAAAGTGGAAGGGGAGAGGAAAACGGGTTAGAAGCTAAAGTTGGGGGAGTGGGTGGGAGGGGGGAAAAGGGTGGGAAAATGGATATGATAGATTAACCTGAAACTTGCGGCTTTCCCCCGACGTTTTCAGGGTTCAAGAGTCTGCTTCTTGGCTGGATAGAAATGCTAGTTTTCTCAGTGACTGGGGAGTGGGGTCTGTCCTACTGAGAATCCCAGCTACTGTGGTGCCACTCAATCCTCTTAGGAGGCAAACCCCGCATTTTGAGGGTAAAAGTGGCAAAGCTGGAATCTCAGATGGGATTTCCTGGGCAAAATCCCAGGTGGAACCTCTCCTTTGGCAGTACAACCTGGCTTTTCCAATAAATCTTAATCAAATCAATATGGAAATAAAGCAACAGTGTAGCACCCATAACAGGGTCTGGTCCTGATCCTGCAAGAAGCAAGAAGGGGCTGAAGGAGCTGAGATGGAGAGAGCATCTTATGATACTACATCAGGTTTATTGCCCCTTTGGGAAGAAGAAAAAATACTATGATTTTCATGGAATGTTTAAAATGTGCTTAGTATTGGTCTTGTGCATAGTATATTGTCTTTGATTCAGTACCACAATGATAGATGTATATTATATCCTTACTTTACAGAGAAGTGTTCAGAGAGGGCAATATGGGCATACTTCAATGCAAAGTATTGGATGTATAGAGTATATTGTCTTTGATTTGGTACCACGGTTCTGGATATATATTATTTTCCCAGTTTACAGAAAAGAGATCAGAGAGGGCAATGTTGGTATCCTTCAATGCAAAGTAATAAATACAAAAGCTGTGCATTTTGTATCTCTGTCTACCTACTTCCTAGAGGGTAAATGTTTCTAAAATGAATATTGCCCTTTTCTTTTTCCTGATCCATCAAATACAGTATTAGTCTGGAGCAAGTTGGAAGCTGTGGTTCAATTTGGAGAAGTGAAATCAGCTCCTTTCTTTTTTCTAAGACTTGCCTCTGTCCCACTCTAATGAGGCATCATTAAACAGCTGGGATCAGCCAGAAACTCAGCTTTTGAATAGAGTTTGTGAAAATTAATGAGGTTGAGTTTTTATGGTGAAGATATACCATCCTTTGGCAAAAAAAAGCTTCTCTCAGTATAGGAGAGGGGAGAGAGGCCAGAAAGCATGAGAAATCTAATTATGTACATGCAGGGACTGAGAGTCAACAATGATTTTCAGAAAATGAGAAAACCTCCCTGAAACTCAAATATTTTTGCCATGTCCCCTGAAATTCAAACAATTGTTTTTATTTTTTCCTCAGAGTTCAACAAATACTTAAAATTATGGATAATCAAAATTTTTACTCCTTATTTTAGCTCAAGCTGCTTTATTGTCTACCATCTACTTGAAACAGGGCTTTTGAGCTGGGGGGCAGGTAGGGGGTAGAATGAGAATAATTTCGGATCTGAAGCATTCCACAGATCTCAATGCCTGAATGTGATGAAATAAAACAAGTGAGAAAAAGTGAGAAAGGAACAAGGGCTACTCTACAAGTTTAAATGTTGGTTTTAGAGTATAAGGAATATAGTGTGGATTTAAAATTTGGCTCTACTACTTAATGTCTTTTAACTCTGGGTAAAGTTTCTCCTCTCTAAGCCTGTTTCTTGCCTCTTTTCTATGTCTGAAAAATGGGGGTGAGAGAAGCAGGCTGTTGGAGGAAAATTATTTTTATGAATAATGAATTTTAAAAGATGACTCTCTGCTAATTTCCCTCATTTCAGAGGACTTCTGTTGCCCTGCAAAGGGTGGCCCCAAGGACTCCCTAATACCTGGGGGGGAAACGTTTAAATTAATCCTCCATTATAGATACCAGCAATGACCTGAGGTGAGAAAAGGACAAGTTAGCATGTTGCAGAAAGCATTGTAATATCTTGCATGGTTGCCAGGGAGTTGAAGCTAGGGTTGGAAAGCACATTTCAGTTATCTAAACTAGTCTTTAAACTGCAGAACAAGTTCTGAGTAAAAATGCTTCATTTTTAGATTTCACCAACTGCTGAAGGGTCAAGTCCTCCAAAATCTATTGCATGGCATAAGTCAGTGAAGAGGTTCATCATGTTTCGACTCACATACTTGCTGTTGTATTTATGTGAGTACAAGGAGAGGGGGAGGGACATGTGATACTGCTAGTGATACCCTGTGAGTGGGTACTTTGGGGAGGTAAAAGAGGGATTTGAGATTTGAAAGGATGGGGAAGAATGAAGAATCTCTCCTTTACTATAATCTCTCTTTTCAGGGCTAAGCCTGGGTGTGACACCAATAGGTAAGTGAGTTCTTTCAGGTAACTTCATTCTAAAGACTCCAACATATTAGTCTGCTTACCTCCATGGAAATAGACATAAATGCCTTGAGATCCTAAAAATGATTCCCAGATTGAATGAGGTGATTAGGAATCAAAGCTTCTCACATTATGATTTAATTTCCTATAGAATAGTAAAAAAAGTTTTATATCTCAAATGCAAAGGAAGAAAGACTTGCACTTTATTCCTGAACTCACTTGTATTCCTTGAACAAATATGCTGTAGTTGTTATCTCTTCTGCACCCAACCCATCTAACCAAAGAAAATTCTTTCCCCAAGGGTGAATGTGGATTGTGGCTCATTTTAATGGGAGGGTGTCACATGGCAGTGAAGTGGGGAGGGAATTCTATAATGGGAGGAAAAGGGCTGGACTGATTTTATCTTTGTGATAATTTTGGACTAACAGGGATGCAGACTCAACCAGAGTTGTGGATAGAGACCAACTATCCCAAGACCCCTTGGGAAAATATCACACTTTGGTGCAAAAGCCCCTCTGGATATCCAAGCAAATTCCTGCTGCTGAAGGATGAGACACAGATGACGTGGATCCACCCTTCTGACAAGACCATCAAAGTTTCATTCCCCTTAGGTGCCCTTACTAAGATGAATTCAGGACGTTACAAGTGCCTCTACTGGAAGGAAAATGGCTGGTCGAAACCTAGTAAAGTTCTAGAGTTGGAGGGTCCAGGTAAGGTGACAAAGATATCAGTGAGAAATTCTAGTTCCTGGAATTCAAACTTGCCTTCCCAGAGCAGGGATTTTTTAATTAATCTATTTGTTTACCTCAAATGCATGTATGTAGGTGTTACACAATTGTTCAGTATGTGCTTACCCTCTTCAGGCAATGCACAGTGAGGATGCAGACTCTGAAACAGAGTGACAGGGAGAGATTTTAACATAGGGAAGATTCAGATATTGGGATGGAGGGGTGGAAAATTAGGATCATACAAAGAAGGCTCATTTCACTAGAACTCTACTCTACTGCTTCATGAGCAACATGTTTCTTGCTCTATTTGAAAATCAATTCATTCTCTCCCTCCAGGCCAAAGTTCCAAGCCTGTCTTCTGGATCTCAGCTAAGACTTCCCCTCTTCCTGTATGTAATGTTGACATGCTCTGCAATGGCTGGATAGAGGATTTAGTATTCTTGCTATTCAAAGAGGCATCTCCCGAGTCCATGGATTATGAATCCTCAACTGGGACAGTAACCATATACTCCATTGCCAATTTAACACCTAGGAGCAAAGGAATGTACATGTGCCGTACTCATATCCATATGTTCCCTACTCCGTGGTCAGAGTCCGGCAGTCCCCCGATGCTAATTGTGGCAGGTGGGTGTAGCTATGGCTGCTGGGGTCTGATAATTGTTGTCCCTGAGATAATAGCTGGATGAACCAGGGTTTCTAGTTTTACTTGGCTATGCCAGTTCATAAACGCTAGCTTATGAGCTAGAATCTCATGACATTTATTGAGATTATGTAGAATCACAGGTTGGAGGTATACATATATACAAACACACATATATACAGTTATATGTATATATACATGGGAGTCAATAACTTAGGAAGTGAATAAGCCCAACTGAATGTACAGAAGTTTCAACTCTTCTCTGTTTTGTTGTCCTCTATGTGTCAAACATTTTGCATGCATCCATTCATTCAAGCATCATTAATTGAGCACCTAATATATGCCAGACACTGTCACTGAAGTCTTATGAACTGATGTTTAAAATTATGAACCTGTTTTATTCTTTTTGTAATTATTTTTCTTAGAGGTAAAGAAGAAGAAATTTGTATGGCTAGTGATAAAAATAAACAAAAATAACACTCCAAACTTGTAGCTCATATGTTTAAAATGACATCACAAAGCACTTTAATTCCTATTCTACACATCTTGTAATGCAGTTCTTAGACTTAAAATAGCAAAAGTTGCTCCGAGATAATCATACACCACACAGTAAAATTCCACCTAAATTCTCTTTCTCTCAAGATTTCCCCATTCAATCTAGTCTGCCACAATCAGACATGCAGGAAGCATGAGGACACTTTTTTCCTATATCTGCAGTGGAAACTAAATTCTTATAAGCATAATTTATCAATTCTTCGTTAATTCCTCCACAAAACTAGTTTGGGGATAACAGGTACCACTACAGAAGTACACTGAACTTAGAAGCAATAATTCTGATTTTCTATTTCTATTTCTAACACTGTTCCCTGTGTAATCTTAAGCAAGTCACACCACCTTTCTATGTTTTTTCTCCAATATAACATGGGATAACAGTATCTATCCGATTTACTACATGATGCTTCTCTGTGCCTCATTTTTCCGATTTGCATTTTTTGATAGTAATAATTAATGCCTACCTCACAGGGTTGTTGTGAGGACCTGCCTAAACATAATATGTGCATAGTACTTGACATGAATTTCTCAATAAATGGTAGATAGGTATTAATTTACTAGTATAAATTTGTATTGTAAGTCAAATATCAAAGCATTGTTTGTTTGAACTATGTGTATGAATGTTTGTTGTATGAATTATCTTTCTGCATATATTCTCCTAATGTATTTTCACAATCATCTGTTCACTGTTAACACCCACTGGGATATGGTCTTTTTACTGATAGGGACTTTATTTTTATTTGTATTAAACCAAGACCAATATAATATCTGATACATACTATGCACTCAGTGGACATTTACTGGAGTTGATCCTTTCAGTCATGGATGAGTGAGTCTACCCTGAATTGGGGTAATTAATAAGCAACTGTATGCAGTAAGGTTTGCCCTCTACTTAGCAAAAGAATAGTCTTTGGAGAATAATATGTGGGGATAAGGTTTTTACTCAAGTATCAGAGAGTTAAGTTGCAGACTTACTGGTTAGACTCTCTTTATTAGCTTTCATTTGCTAAAATGGAGTCGTATGTGGGTGGGATGTGTTCAAAAACCTACCTTAATATGTAGTAATTTTCATGTTCTACATATATGGAATCAAAGTAATTTTCAAAAGTTTGGTTTCTTTCGTGGTTGGTAAAACTACATTTGGAAGTTCCTGTACTTGAGAATACAAGGAATTACAGATACAGCTATTCACCAAGACCCTACACTAAAGTAGAACTTATGGAGCTCATGGATGTATAAGCAAACTTACTCTTGATTATCTTTTAGATGAGAGAGGGAATAAAGGAAGGAAGAAAAAACAGACTAAGCTTTGGCTTCCACGTTTTATCCAAAGAAACTAGGAAACCAAAGCAGAAGACAATAGGAACTAATGAACTTACCTCTAATTTGATTTTTTTCCCCTTTATAGGACTGTATCCAAAACCAACTCTTACAGCATATCCTGGGCCCTTCATGGCACCTGGAGAAAGTCTGAATCTCAGGTGTCAGGGGCCAATCTATGGAATGACCTTTGCTTTAATAAGGCTTGAAGGTATGAAGAAATCATTTTACCTCAAGAAACCAATAAAAAATGAGGCATATTTCTTCTTCCGGTCTTTGAAAATACATGATACTGGACGATACTTCTGTTTTTACTATGATGGATCATACAGAGGTTCACTGCTCAGCGATGTCCAGAAAGTTTGGGTAACCGGTAAGAAAGGGGTAATGCCATGGGGTCCATGTCAAGGAACAAGAATATGCAACTCCCTTTGAATTTCCTGGAAAACCTAATATCACAGACGGGGCTAATGCTGGAAAAGGGAATAGGATATGTCCAACTCAGTTTAGAATATGATTCCCCAAGGGTGGACCCTAAGGAAAGAACCCTAAGTAATAGGAGGGGAAGTCAGAATATACACCCTTTATATTTTGGGTCTTCTCCTAGATTCTTTCCCTGAGACCTGGCTACTTGTCCATCCAAGTCCTGTGGTTCAAATTGGTCAGAATGTGAGTCTGTTGTGTCAAGGGTTAGTGAATGACGTGGGACTTGCACTTTATAAAAAAGAAGATAAAGCACTTCAGCTCTTGGATACCACTACCACTGATGGCAATGAGTCATTCTTCCTCAACAATGTGACCTCCAGAGATGCTGGCATCTATACCTGTCACTATTTGCTCTCCTGGAAGACCTCCATCAAGGTGACATCTCACAACATTGTGAAGCTTGAGGTTATAGGCAAGTGCTAACCATTGTTGATTTTTTATCATTACAGTGTTATAAAAAGAGGTAGTGGCCTCATGCCTTCTTGAAGTTATGAAATAAGGAAAACCATACCGGGAGGACAGTGGAGAATTTTCTCTGAATATATTGGGTGTCATCTCTCCTGGAATTGTTACTCAAGTCTAATCTCCCAGTATGAATTAGTCCTGTTGGGGGCTCCTGCTATTTTACTTCAGGTCAAGGGAAACAAAGGCAACATAGGGATGAGTTTTTTCCTGAATTGGGGTAGATTCACAGAAATCTTTCAAGCACCAAAGAGTAGGCTAATTGGTTCTAACATAATTTCAAAGTCATTGACTAAGTGAAAAGGAAGACAAATATTCAGGTTCATTTGTGCTGCAATTCTTTTGTTTGTGTCTGTGGCAGGTGGGGAAAATTACCCAGGTCAAGGTTGCTTCTAACTCTGGTCTCTGGATTGGTTGCAGATAAACCCCCTAAACCTTTTCTGACAGCCTGGCCCAGCAATGTATTTAAACTAGGAAAGGCCATCACCCTTCAGTGTCGAGCACATCGTCCAGTAATTGAATATTGTCTGGAACGGGAAGAAAAAGCAACAGTCAAACAAGTCTCAGTGAATGGAGACTTTATCATCAGTAATATTGAAGGGAAAGGCACAGGGACATACAGTTGCAGTTACCGTGCAGATGCATACCCTAATATTTGGTCATATCGCAGTGAGCCTCTGAGGCTGATGGGACCAGCAGGTGAGAAGATAACTCTACATAAGAACATACCACTATGTCTTAGACCAGCATTTCTCTGGGTTCTCAGAGAAGTGCCAAGAATTGCCTGGAAAAGGAAATAAGTGGCTTAGAAGTCCGGATCTTTGGGTGTGGGCATTCTTCTCTTGGGGTAATCTCACAATAACTCAAGGGTAGCAAGAAGGGTACTTGTAGGTCATTCATTCTCTATGGAAAAATAAAAGTGCTTCTGCATCATCTTCACTTCACTCTTAGTAACCTGTACCCCTTTACCCCATGAATGTGTTCCTCTGTCCCTATTCCCATCAAGGTTTCTACTTCTGGTCTTCTCTGGCCATAGGTTTTCTCAACTGGAATTATGTTCTGAATGAAGCCATCAGATTGACCCTGCTGATACAGCTTGTTGCATTGCTGTTTATAATTCTGTGGCTAAGATGGAGATGTCGGAGACTCAGACTCAGGTAACTGTCTTGTGCGAGAAACATATACCTCAATCTAACTTTGTCCAGGCCCACAAAGATTCAAGAATTAGCTAAGCTCCAGTTGAGACAAATCACAGGGGCACACTAAACAAAATTCAGAAGCTACATCTTCTGGGCTAAGGGGAAAAAGACTTTTCATCCCAGGACTGGAAAGATAGTACAGTGTTTAGGACTCTAGCTTTGCATGCGGCCAAACCAGGTTCAATCCCCTAGCGCTACCAGGAATAATTCCTGAGTGCAAAGCCAGTAGTAACCCCTGAGCACCACTGGGAGTGGTCAAAAACCAAGAAAAAAAGAACCTTTCATCTCAGTTGTTTCTCAAGGTCAAAGATGTAGCAAAGTGGTTTTAGCACTTGCCTTATATGTAGTCAACTCTAGTTAAATTCCAGGCACCTCATATAGTCCCCTGAACATCACTAGGAGTAATCCCTTAGCACAGAGGCAATACTGAGTACTGCTGGGTGTGACCCGAAAGCCAAAAGAAAAGAAAGAAAACCTCTATAGTTGTTTTCTTTTGCCTAATAGAGGGATGAGGGCATAAGACCCAAAGACAAAGGGTGGAAAAATTTCTCAGAGGCTGAAGAAATTATCAAAACCTTCTTCACTGATTCCTTACCCCAGGAGAGCACCCACATTTCCCCATAAACCACTTATCCCCTCGCAGATGATTCCATCAACCACATCACTGTCGCTGTCCTCCCATTGTTCATCAATTTGCTCTAGCGGGCCCAGTAACATTTTGAGACTTGTTGTTACTGTGTTTGGCATATCAAATATGTCATGGGGAGCTTGCTAGGCTTTGCCACAGGGAAAAGATACTCTCGGTAGCTTGCCGGGTTCTCCACAATGGGAGGAGGAATTGAACTCGGGTCGACTGAGTTGGCCTTGTGCAAGGCAAACACCTTACTCGCTGTACTATTGCTCCTGCCCATCAACCACATCAACCTAGCATAAATTTTCCTTCTTGTAAGAAGTTAATGTTGTTCTTTCTCCAGGTTATTATCCAACCACCATTCTAATTTTTTATCTTTACCCTTACCTCTAAGGGGCAAGAGACCTTTGTGGTTAAGTTCCATTGCCACAGGAACCAATATCTCTGCCACCTTGCCTCCCAATCTTATCTGTGAATTCTGAGAATATAACTTTGGTAGTCGAGATTCTGATGAGATAATATCTGGAGCCAGATAATCAGACTGATTCCCCTGGTCCACAAACTTAAATGACAAGCTCCAAGATTTCTCCTTTCTTTCGATATGTCAGTGTCCTCTGGCTCATTACTCTTTGTCTATTTGTTAAGGCCTGTCCTCAGACTTATCTGCTTTAAAATAACAATTTATAGCCTCAGCTTCTGAACTACTCGCCTATTTGTTTGCAGTCTCAGCTCTAGCAGCACTCATCAGTATCACGATCATATGTGCCCAGGAACATTCAGTGTTCTATGGCTGATAACTATGATTCTCTGTGTTTATGTTTTCCACTAGGATCCATGGGGCAGAGATCTTGGGTAGTTAGACAAGAGCCCCCTAAGTCTTCTGCAAAAGACACCAAAATTTCAGTTCACAGAAAGTTTCTATGGGGGTGTGGTTCTAGCTGTCCTCAGAATCTCTCCCAATTCCCCCCAATGTGATGGTAACTTCTCAGCTTGGGGTTAGGGAAAATGGAACTACAAATACTCCATTAAGCCCAAGAGCAGTACTGCATCAAAAAATGAGTTCAAAATTAGATTTCAGAGAAAGCAACTTGACAAAATATTCTCTGGACTAGGATGTAAGGAGGAAGAGTGTTTTCTAATTAAAAACTATTAAATAGATTTCAGATTGATATTATCAAATGCTTTAAGGTCTATAACTCAATGGGTTGCTATATGTTTCTAGTTATAATCTGGATAGCAGTAGGGAAATCCTACTCTCTGATTAGCCTAGCTCTACACTGACAGTCCTCTGGTAATTCACCTCTGCTGCCTAGGCAACTATCCATAACAAAAACAGGTGAAGCGGGTATGTCTGAGGACCAATACTGCCATAATAAAACTTGCTTCCAAACTTAAATTTCTTGACAGAGAATCAGACAAGATTTCTCCTTCCACTCTCACACCCACCACCCAGAACTGCCTATCATACTGAGCTCCAGGGGTTCTGAAAGCTGAAGATACAAAAGCATTTTTTGCATCTGACGTCTCAATTCCAATAACAGCCTAATCAGGAACCATGGGGAGCTGACATATGATATAAGCTGGGGAGGAGGAAGGGGCGGGGGCACGTGGGTCATGAAAGAGCAAAAGGTTTGTAGGTGGTGAGGCCCTCAAAAAGAAAAGTCATCGATGTCAGAAAAGATTATATTCCGTTATCCTAGCCCTATCCAATTCCTATTGGTTAGTGAGTAAGCCAATGATATTAATTGCCGCCCCCTTTCTCTCCGCCCTCCCCTTAATCCCAGCAACTCCTCTCATCTTTTTTCTGATCTCATTAGAGAAGCCTGGTTGCTGGGAACAGCTCAAGGGGTCACCATGCTCTTCATAGTCACAGCCTTGCTCTTCTGTGGTGAGTACTAGGGAGTGGAAAAAGGGTCCGGACGAAAGCCCCGGGGGAAAGAAGGCAGATCCCTGGCAGCCGTTTCTATTGCAGGACTGTGCAGTGGAGCATTGATAGAAGAGACTGGTGAGTTTTCCCTGCTCCAGACTGGGACATTCCTCCCTGGAGATCTGAAATAACTCCAGAGTGTCAGTGTTCGTGGCCAGGGAGAACAGGGAGGAACTGGTTAGGAGGGAAGGAAGGGTAGAAAGGGGCACTTCTAAAACTGCTGGCAAAATACTGATTCCAGTTCTGCTTTTCTGCCTGCAAGATTCCCCTGGGCTTCTGCACTTTTCTGAGGCTCAGCTGAGACATTAGCTTTCCCTTTCCCAGCACCTGAGGAAGAAAAGAGATTTTTGGGTTTGGGATTGAAAGGGGAGGTGGGCAGTGTGCTCTGGATAGAGGGGCATTTCTAGGGCAAGGAAAGGGGGAGGGGGAAAGTTGGGAGAAGGATGGCTTCATTAACTCTGCTGTTTCTAGAAATAATCATGCCAACTCCTAAACCTGAGCTGTGGGCAGAGACCAACTTTCCTCTGGCCCCATGGAAGAACTTAACCCTCTGGTGCAGAAGCCCTTCTGGTTCAACTAAGGAGTTTGTGTTGTTAAAAGACGGGACAGGGTGGATTGCGACCCGCCCGGCCACAGAGCAGGTCCGGGCAGCTTTCCCCCTTGGCGCCCTGACCCAGAGCAACACCGGGAGTTACCACTGTCATTCATGGGAAGAGATGGCTGTGTCCGAGCCCAGTGAGGCCCTGGAACTAGTGGGAACAGGTAAGAAAAGCAAGGGAACCTCCTGGAGTGAGCCCCAGTGCTCCCAGGACTCCCGCATTATTTGGGGGGGGGGGGAGGCGAGGAGGAAATGCATTGAGACCTTGTTGTCTGTGAGAGGTGGAGCTCACTAAGGAGCACTGTAATAGGGATGGGGGTGGGAAGTAAGGACTGACAGAAAAACCCAAGGACTAATCCAGGAGGTTTTTGTTGCTGTAGCGATGGTTGTTATTGTTGTTACTTTTTGTCTTTCTGATAAAGTTACTCCAAGCGTTCCATACTGGAGTTCCAAACTTCAGGCTGATTTTTCCTACCCCATTTTATTTTCCAGATATCCTCCCTAAGCCTGTCATTTCTGCTTCTCCCCCTGTCCGAGGACAGGAACTGAAAATTCGGTGCAATGGATGGCTGGAAGGCATGGGGTTTGCTCTGTATAAGGAGGGGGTACAGGAACCTGTCCAACAACTTGGTGTGGTTGGGAGAGAAGCTTTTTTCACAATCCAAAGAATGGAGGATAAAGAGGAAGGCAATTACAGCTGCCGAACTCATACTGAAAAGCACCCCTTCAAGTGGTCTGAACCCAGTGAGCCTGTGGAGCTTGTCATTAAAGGTAGAAAAGAGTTTTTGTGAGTGTGTGCGTGCTTTAGTACATGCATCTGTGCTAGGAGCACTTATGTGTGTGCGCGTGCGTGCGTGTGTGTGTGTGTGCATACACACACAGTCCTGCGGGGGGGAGGGGGGAAGTGCTGGATCAGACACTGCTTTCTCCACAGCAAACTTTATTGCTTGTCTTGCGAGCCTGTGTCCAATCTTAGAGCCAGGCAGGCGTGGCGCTGGGAGTGCCAGGGCCTCTGGGCTGCAAGATATTAATAGCCATAATCGTTATTAATAGCTGGGGTTTGCGGAGGGTGATTTAATTTTTGTAATTATTTTCATATCAATTCTCTCACTTTGCAATAGAGCAAATATTCAAGGAGGTGGAGTAGGTACCGTATTCCCTTCCCTTCCAAACAGGCAAATTGGTGTTCAGGAAACTACCCATGCTTTTCAACAGCACACTCTCAGCTCTTTTCCATAGCTAACCCTGAGAACTGTGAAGATTCAGCTGGTGAAGGGGAGGAGTGAAGCTGAAATGGCTTTGTGTGAAAAATTCACCTGCAAAACAGATTTTCCTTGACTTTTTTTTTTGTTTTTATTAGCGAAATACCATGAGGTACAGTTGTAGACTTACAAATTTTTGTGCTTGGGTTTCAGTTATACAATGATAAAGTACCCAAAAATGTACTTACTTCTGAATAAAATACTATGAAAAGCAAATCCACTTCCTAGAACCAATATTTACAATATTCGCCTTCTCTCTCTCTTTCTCACTCTCACTCTCGCTCTCTCTTGCTCTCTCTCTCTGACTCTGTGTTGTGTTTTATTGTTTTGCTTTTCAGAAATGTACCCCAAGCCTTTCTTCAAGACATGGGCCAGTCCTATGGTGACTCCTGGTGCCCGAGTAACTTTCAACTGCTCCACTCCCCATCAGCACATGAGCTTTATTCTGTACAAAGATGGAAGTGAAATAGCATCCAGTGACAAGTCTTGGTCAAGTCTGGGGACCAGTGCTGCTCACTTTCTCATCATTTCAGTGGGCATTGGTGATGGAGGGAATTATAGCTGTCGATACTATGACTTTTCTATCTGGTCTGAGCCAAGTGACCCTGTGGAGCTTGTGGTGACAGGTGAGGATGGGAAAATCCAGATAGAGTCAAGGGTATCAGACCGAGTCACTGGGTGGAAAGGCTAACAGCCGGAAAGGAAGGAAGATTCCTCCTAAGAAACAGAGGAAAATTTTAGGACTACTCCTGGCACATAGTAAATAGTCTGTGAAAAAAAGCTTTTTTAAAAAATGATAATCATTGTCATTAAAAAGACAAAGAAGTGGATGGAGAGAAGTAATTCATTTTTAAGGAAGAGCAAGGAAGACAGGGTAGAGGGGATTGAGAGTCCAATTCTGAAAACCAAATTTGTATTGCTCATTTCTGAATTTTTTTGTGCTTTGGCCTTGGGCTTTAGTCTCACTGTCTACTTTTTCCTTAGTTCAACAATCAAAAGATTGGCAGGCTGGATGGCCCTCAGAGAAAAGGAGACGGCCTTGAGACGTCAGCTGCATAGTATGCGGTCATTACAAATGACAGTTTTCAAAGACTATTTAACGTCATAGGGAAATGTTTACAATACAAAGTGGAAATATCTAAGTACATAACTCTGAGGGCTGTAGGACCCCAGTTATGGAAATAGGTATCATTTCCATGCCATTGACATGCATCAAAAAAAAATAGAAAACTGTCACTGTCACTGTCACTGTCCTCCCGTTGTTCATCGATTTGCTCGAGCGGGCCCAGTAACATCTCCATTGGAGACTTTGTTGTTACTGTGTTTGGCATATCGAATACATCACAGGTAGCTTGCCAGGCTCTGCCATGCGGGCGAGATACTCTCAGTAGCTTGCTGGGCTCTCCGAGAGGGGCGGAGGAATCCAACTCGGGTCGGCCATGTTGGCTGCATGCAAGGCAAATGCCCTGCCGCTGTGCTATCGCTCCAGCCCATCAAATAGAAAACAAAGGAATAAAAATATATAAAGAACCGTTTTCTTTGGTACAATTATAAGTTCTCATTTGGTATTGTCTGCATTCTCTAATTCTCTTCATAAATATGTGTTGTTTCATTGACAAAGCATCTTTAATATTTCTCATAATAATACAAAAAGACAATTTTCAGAGTGTAGGTTGCATGCTTTTTTCATTTCTTGTTCTCTTTAATTTCAGATTTCTACCCCAAGCCTACTCTCCTGGCTCAGCCAGGTCCTGTGGTACTTCCTGGGAAGAATGTGAGCCTGCACTGCCAAGGGCTTTTCTGGGACATGAGGTTTGCCCTCCTGAAGGAAGGAACACAGGTTCCCATACAAATCCAGAGCACTTCAGGGAACTCAGTGGACTTCCTCCTCCACACTACTGGAGTAGAGGATTCTGGAAACTACAGCTGTGTCTATTATGAGACAGCCATGTCAAATAGGGGATCGCATCTCAGTGCACCCATTATGATCTGGGTGACAGGTAAGGACAGTAAGGAGAAAGAACTGGTTTGGACCTGACTAGAATAAGCGCTTTAAGGAGGATAATCCCCCTTGTGAAGTAATGTGTAGAGAAAGGGAATTTTATATTAGAAAGGGTTAATTTAGGAAGTAGTAAGTTTCTGTACTCACCATTTTATATCTTTGGTCTCTTCCTAGACACATTTCCCAAGCCAAGGCTGTTTGCTGAGCCCAGTTCTGTGGTACCCATGGGATACAACGTTACTCTCTGGTGCCGAGGCCCAGTCCATGGAGTAGGGTACATTCTTCACAAGGAAAGGGATGACACTTCAGTGAAGCTATGGGGATCCACCAGTGATGATGGGGCATTCCCCATCATTAATATTTCAGGTGCCACCATAGGACGCTACAGTTGTTGCTACCATCCTGACTGGAGCAATTCCATCAAGTTACAGCCTAGCAACACCCTGGAACTCATTGTCACTGGTAAGGGAAAGATGCTTTAATTAGCATCAGCTTGTGGAAAAGAGGGAATATAAGTTGGTTCATCAGAAATTGTTTTCACAGTGCTGAACAGGTGGACTTTTCTTTGTAACAAGAAGTTAATTTCTTCTAGGTTTGCTTCCCGAACCCAGTCTGTTAGCCCAGCCTGGTCCTGTGGTAGCTCCTGGAGAAAACATGACCCTTCAGTGTGAAGGGGAATTGCCAGACTCAACATATGTCCTGTTGAAGAAGGGTGCCCGTGAGCCTATAGGGCAACAGAGGCCAAGTGGGTATAAGGCTGACTTCTGGATGCCATCGGTGAGAAGTGAGAATTCTGGAATCTATACCTGTGTTTATTATTTGGACACTGCCCCCCTTGCAGCTTCCAATCACAGTGAGCCCCTGGAGGTCTGGGTGACTGGTAAGTTCTGGAGAATTCAGTAAGAATCTAGAATTTTTAGTTTTTAGTAGCTAATCATAAATGGCTAAATGCTTGGATTCGGGGCCACTTCTAACTATGTATTTTTATTGGTTGTAGACAAGCCTCCCAAACCTTCCCTCTCAGCCTGGCCTAACGCTGAGTTCAAGCTAGGGAAGGACATAACGCTGCAGTGCCGAGGACCCATGCCAGGTGTTGAGTTTGTCCTGGAACATGATGGAGAAGAAGCACCTCAGCAGTTCTCAGAGGATGGAGACTTTGTCATCAACAACATGGAAGGAAAAGGCATTGGAAACTACAGCTGCAGCTATCGCCTCCAGGCATACCCTGATATATGGTCCGAGCCTAGTGATCTCCTGGAGCTGGTCGGAGCAGCAGGTGAGAGGATCTGGTCCTTTTGTGACACACATTGGGATCACAAAAATAGTTCCCATGGAAAAAGTCCAAATACGGAAAGGGGACAGAAATTGGAGTGAGATACCTAATGTTGGGTCATATTTCTCTTCAGAATGGTTAGGTGTGAAAACTCAGTTTCACTCAAAGATAGTAATCATAATACTTTCAAAGTTGCCCAACCGAGGAAAAAAACACGAAGGGCTGTTCCTGCCTCAGCATTAGCACGGAAACTGACCACCCGCTCTGTAGTCTAAACACATGACTCTCTGGAAAAGACCAGCTATGGGGCCAACAACAGGTCAAGAGTAGTATACATGACTAACCTCTGTGGGATTGGTTTTTGCTCTTTTATTATCTCAGGGCCTGCTGCTCAGGAGTGCACTGTGGGAAACATTGTCCGAAGTAGCCTGATTGTGGTGGTGATTGTAGCCTTGGGAATAGTGTTAGCCATAGAGTGGAAGAAGTGGCCTCGACTCCGAACCAGGTAAATCTTCATACTAGCCTCATTCTCTGAACCCGGGGGTGCTAAAAACCAATAATCTGAATGCCGCTCTAGCATCTGAATACCTGTTGTCAACTTGATGATTTTGGATCCTTCTGAGCCCCACAATGCAACCTCTTTTCAAGTTGGTGGTTCTGAAGCCTTAGTTATATGTTTTTCTCTCCACAGGGGCTCTGATACAGATGGAAGAGACCAGACCATAGCCCTTGAAGAGTGCAACCCAGAAGTGGAACCAGACACCAACACCAGCTCTCCCTCATCAGCCTCTCGGGGGACCTCAGTAGAGGGTCCAGTCCCTGTGTAATAATCTACTCCTTGACATGAGCTTTTTTCTCTTTTCCCCACAGAGACCTGAAAACCTGCCTTGTTACCCTGGGTGTCAGTATTAGCTACTATTCCTTGGCAACTAATCACCCCAGCTGAATCCAAGAGATTCTGGCAGTTGAGAGTTCTACCAGGATGAGATGTTTCTTGAAGAGAGATTCCTTGCTCCTGTAACTCTTCACTTTACTGATTTACTGATGCATGAAATTCTATTAAAATGTATTCTTATGAATAAAGAGTATTCACTATTAAATTGCAAAAACCATAGCATTGGTTCTTCATTGTCTTGTAAACTTACAGAAATGTTGTATTAGAGCTTACCTCTGTGACAGAATAAAAGAGTGCTGGGCTTCTTGTAGAAAAAGGGAGGTCAAGATGGGTTGGGAGAGGAGGGAAGTTTCCAAAACAGGATTTTCCAATTTGATTTTAGTAGTGGTCACCTAACAGAATGCCTAGTTGTCCTTTCATACCATTAAATAAATGGATGAATGAATAAACGTATATATGATCCCTAAGTTGAGCTTGAGGAAGATAAACACTGAAGTTGGATCCTTTTCACCATTTTATTTCTAAATCTATATTAAGTATAACCTAAGTACATTGGCAGAGGGTCTTGGGCTTTTCTTAGTGGTGAAATGTGGTTACTCTGTGGGAGGGTGAGTGCTTCTCCCAGTCCCTAGACCAGAGAGTCGCCCCTTCTGACGTCAGCTCCCATTCTTCAAACCAAAACTGAGATTTTTACTGAACACACTCTTCATATTGAAGCCAGTGGTTGTAGCAATTATACTTTAGTGACCCTATATAGTCATATAGCTCAGTCAACTTAACAGTTTGCCTATTTTAAAAGCTCCTTTCCCTCATCTAATAACAGTCCAGAGTAAAAGGGGCAATTTGAGCAACATAGGTATTCTCAGTAGCCCTCTAGTCTAAACAATGAAACACATAAACTCTTAAGTAACTGGGAATCTAAAGCTCCAACAATAACCCACATGAAACTCAATGAACAATGTGGAAACTTAGAAACCCAACTGCTATGTCAGACAGAGATAGAAATCCAGTAAATCCTGAAGCCCATTAAAACTCTTGAGTCTGTTGATGCAGTTCTAAAATCAACACTTATTACACTGGAAATCAAAATAAGACAAACACTGGTTACTGAAATTAAGATGTGGTTACTCTGTCCATCATAATCATAAGTGTCAACACTACTGCACACATGTGGTTCAAACTAATTTTTTAAATTTAATACTTTTTCTAGGGGTGGGGGAATCTTGATATATTGGATGCTAACACTGGTTGTTGGTGTGCAGTTAAAACATTCTGTACCTAAATCTCTGTAATTAATGATATTGTAATAAAAATTGAGTAGGGGACAAAGATCTGAAGTACTTCTAAATTTTCAGTGTATTTTTGGCTCTTACTTAGCAATCATAGGATGATCACTCCTAAGTGTGAATGGCTGATAAAAGCTGAATATTTAACCCCTCCTTAAAGAAATAGTTTCCTTATGGGCAGTGGGATCTCAAGGAATGCGTAGACTGATTTGTAGTAGGAGATGTCTCAGCGTCTGCTCCCAGCATCCCCAAATAGAGGTCAGTTTCATTCTGAGCACCTGAATTTTCTCCATGTTGGCTTGCCACTTACTCTTTTGGTAAGAATTCAGTAAACATTATCAATAGGAGTTGGGCTGGGAAACAAGATTTACCTAGATCTTTGAACCTGGTCAAGCAAGGCCACAAAATAATTGGCATACATATCAGAGAGAAGGTTATGAGGTCATGACCCCTTCAAATGAGACCCTAGTATTTCTTTCTCTCTCTCTGTTTTTTTGCATTTTGGTTCACACCAAGTGATGCACAGAGTTTACTCCTGGTTCATGCACTCAGGAATTACTCCTTGCAATTCTCAGGGGACCATATGGGATGCTGGAAATCAAACCCGGGTCAAACGCCCTACCCGCCATGCTATTGTTCCAGCCCAGACCCTAGTATTTCTTACCATCTAGTACTGTTCAATTCTAGGCTGTCAACTCAATAGGCAACGTATAAAGGTGCCACACACAATAAACTGTCCATGGTTAGAATGAGGTTTAGAAAACAGCTTCTGTATTTTTGCATTGAGATTCTTATTTATCTAATACCTTTTAGAAATGCATCCCATTTCCCTTAATCCTTATAGAATGAAACACTCTAAGTACTATTTGCTAATTTGTATTAAACCCTTTGGAATGTAGAAGTACAAAGTCTTACTCTGATTTCCAGTTGATGACATTCTATTAGTTGCTTATACTAATTTCTTATAAAAATTGTGTTTCCAAAAATTGCATTTTAAAACTGCTTTTGCATTTGAATTCTGCAAAGCCTAATTGTTGCTTTCTGCTGAATACCACTTCAAACTCTTCATCCATAACCTTCAATCAAGTTGTACATTTTCAACACGGGAGGGAGGCCTGCACTTGGTCCTTTGTTCAGGGTAAAAGTCCTTGGATCAGGTCTGATTTTGTTTTCCAATCACTGGGTGTTTCAAAGTGCATTGTCAAGGCTAGTGGTAGTTAGCAAGTTGTGAAAGTTACCGAGTGATCACTTGATTGCTTTAGCTTTCACCAAGGGAAAGAAAAATGGAACATAAGTACAAGAGGCCAAGACCTGAAATTTAGAGAAACATCTGGGTTAGAAAAAAAGGAACATAAGCTAATCAGGATAGAAAATTACATTTGCAAAATTCAAACATTAAACGTGATATCTCCTGTGTCCAAAAACTCAACCAAAGATATTTATGCAACAGAAAAAAATTGATAAACATTTTCATGAGAAAAAATAGAAACATTATGACAACGGACTGCTAGTTGGCGTTTCAAAAACACTCACATAAGTAATCGGGTAACTGCTGATGTGTATGTTGTTGGAATTACATGCAGTAGAAAACCATAATTAATAGTATCGTAAACCACTGATTCTCAATAAAAATTAAGAGTAAAAACTAAAATAAAATAGAAATCAATCACATTAAACATTTTCTACCTAGGGAACAAAGTTCTATATGTCTTGGGTGGGATGCAGGGAGCGTGGTCAATTAACTGTGAGAGGCTTATATACAAAGAATGACTTTGGGGTTTAACTCTACTTCTTGTCATCAGAGCTACCTCAATTATGTGTCTATTTATAATGGAGATGTCGTCATAAACTATCTCAATGAATTAAATATCTATTTATAATGGAAACGTAGTTTGTTACTGACAGTGCTCCACATGGTGTTTTTTTTCAACCTGGTTGCCATGGGAATCAGTCCCTTTACCCCTGGCTGGCCTCTAATCATCAGCCCAGCATCAGATAATTTCTGGGAAACGGAATATCATTTAGGGTGGAATGAACCTTTGTGAGGAAAATTTGTCTTTTGGAGTCCAGGAAGAAAGGCTAAAGATCCTCCTTCAGTTTTAAGAATTAACTGTAAATTGTACCTAATTCTTGGGCTTCCACAACTTTGGTCCCAGCATCTCAGAGCTACAAATTCTGTCAATATGGTGTGGTTAAAATTTCCACCCAGTACAGAATCTCATTTATAGCCAAGATAAAACATAAACACACAACTTCTTTCTTTTATAGACATCTAGGAACAAGGAATTCATTACTATTTTGTACACAAAATAATTCTACAAATTTTGAAAATATGTATGTTATAACTCCTGAGTTCAGAAATTTTTACTCAGAAAGGAAAACGAAAGATTTTGCTTTCTTTCATTGTGTCTTTAAGTAATTGTTTATTATACAGGATTTGAAGAGGATTGAATTCATGCTCCTGACCTAGTCAAAGTGAGCAGTTCTTTTACATATTTCACATTTCTACTGCTACATAATGTGAGACCATGATAAAGTATGTGGTAAAAATAGAAACTGAAGAGGTGTATATTTTGGGGAGGTTGGTAAAATTTAAACAAGGTGGTTGAATCAGAACTTCAAGAAGTGGAGACAAAAGGAATGAGCAGAGGGATCATTTTGATGCTGGGCTGGCATTGGAACATTGATAGTATAGTGGGGGACAATTGTATAATCATATAAGATTATTCACTTGTATCACTTGTCATCCCGTTGCTCATTAATTTGCTCGAGCTGGAGCCAGTAACATCTCCATTCGTCCCTTGTGGCATGCTAGTGTAGCCCAATGGCATCTGTTTGCTCCAGGATCACAAAAAGTCTCAAACCATTCATTCAAGGTTCTTGACGAAAAAGTCTGACCACCTCGTAGGTGGGCGGCCAGTCTTTCTTATGACTGGACATCATATAAGACTACAAAGATTGATTAAACCCTGGAATTATATAGTATTGCAAATCAATGATAAACTAATTAAAAATTAAATTAAAAAGGTGACTAAGAAGTCTCCTGAGACATTAATATTTGACTTATAATTCGAAGGATATGAAAGAGCAAGAAGGTGGGTTCTGATGAGAAAATTACCTATAATAGACCTGGGACAGAAAAAAGGCCCCTCTAGTTTGAGGAACAATGAAGTTGTATTTTTAGGGTAGGTAAGAGAATTAGAAGGATATCAGATCAGAGAGGTAATGGGAAACAGAAGAAGAAAAATGTTTGTAGGATTTCATGTGAGCTTTATTTCCACTCTGAATGAAATGAGAAATCTATTGGAGTATCATGATCAGCCTTACATTTAAAAAGATTCATCCAGTATTTGTATGGAGAATAGACTGAGGGACAAATATACAATCCAAGGTCTGTATGAGATATTACAAAAATCTAAAATAGAGTTATAGATTAGGTCAACATAGTAGCAGAGGAGGTGATTAGAAATAGTTGGATATTTATATCATCTGAATAGATTTAGGAATTATTCTATTGACGCCTTCATTAGAAGGAAGGACTGTTTAAAATAGTTACTTAGCGTTTCCTCTCTGGGTTATTTTAATCTCATCTTCAAGAAAAGGTTTGCCAATTATTCCCATTCCAGGACAACATTTATGAACAATCTATTGTTGTCAATTCATAAACATTATAAACATCAAGCAGTCATGCATATCTGAAGTGATCTACCCAGGACAGAGTACAGAGGACAATAAAGTGATCATTTTTCCTGTATCTCAATTCACCATTTCTATTAAATTAAAATTACATAAGTCCTTGAGCAGCCATAGCTCATTATTGGCATACAGGAAACTGCGGTCAACATAAACCCACAATTTTTTCACACAACCCCTTGCCAAGTCAATCTTTTCTTATCATGCACTTATTTGAGTGATAAATTATTGGACAATT